ACCTAGTGGGTTGGATGTGCTAGTGCAATGTTAAATAATACTGATCTTAATAGCAACCTGTACTATTCATAAAAAGCAAGTAGATCTACACTGATATATCTGTGCTGACACACTCTGATGTATCATCTGGCCTGACCCTGCTCCCAGGTAAGCCAGGAACACACTATCATTGGTTTTAAAAGGAGTGTTGCTAGATTGAAAAAATGCTGTCCAGGAAAACTTTGAAGATTTAAAAATGCTAAATTAAAATAAATACATAAATAAGTCCCAATCTAACACTGGGGAAACAGTGATAGATTTCAGAGGATATGGAGAACTGAGGCTTCACCAGAATAAGACTATTTTGGGAGAGGAGTGATAGGTTGGAGGTAGTTCCTTGTTGAGGATGGGCTCTTCCAGCACAGGTGAAAGACCTTTCCCCTGTCTCCTCTTCTCTCCTTCATGGTGCTCAGCTATTTTACCTACTTCATCCCAACAAAAGTCTGTTTTAAAATAGGATTTCCCCACTGATTTTTTTTTACCATTAAGAAGTCATTTTCCAGCACAATGTTGTCAGAAAAGTCCCATTCAAACTGCACAATCATAGCTCTCATTGCAATGAACTCTTTCTTTCTGGCTGATGACATGGTGAGCAGAACCCTCAGTTTTGCTGGTAAATTCTGCTTACAAATTGTGGTGGACACAACTGTAGGCAGCTGCATCCCAGCATGTCTGATTCTCCTGAAAGGGTCCCTCAGTTGTTAATATTTGTTGCTAAGAAGAAATGAAAGATGAAGAGCAAGCTAAATTCTCTAAAACACAGTTTTGGACTACTAATTCACACAATTGTCCTTGCCCATGTTAATGCCAATATTGGCTAATAGTGGAACATGATGTTCAGAGCAGCTCTTACTGTTTCAGAGGGATGAGAAAATAAAATCCACAGAAGAAAAAAATCTTCTATTTTGGTATACTTAACACATACAGTTATCTAGTCCTATATATCATTTAACAAATTGCTTTGCAATTCTTACAGGGCGTGGTATAATGACTGATTTAAAATCACTGCATTGCTTAAACTGCATTGTTCTTCATCAAGTTGAGTCATTTTTATGTGAAGTGTCAAGCTCTCTAACAAATAACTGCTGCCAGACAAATCAAGTTCCTCATCTTAAAGCTACGGCTAAATAGTTTATAGCTTTAATCTGCTCACTGAGGTGTGCAGTCTATGACAGTAATTATAAATGCAAGGAGAAATTATAGCTGAATGCTTTAACTGCATTAGGAGCCATTTGATGAACAATCATGATTGCCTGCTCATTTTCAACAATAGAGGGCAAGTTAGTGTCAGTGCATTAGAGGATTTTCAGTTCTGCTCTGCTCTTTCTTCCATTTACCACAGAATGTCAGTTGTCTCCTATAAAGTAGAAAAAAAGCACTGTAGAAGCTTTAAACTTGATGGTTAAAAAAAGACAAAGGAGGAGACAGAGAGAAAAACTGTTTATCATTATGACTCATTTTTTTGTTTTGCAGCAGCCTTACTTTCAAATTAGTTCATCTCAGGTAGCTGCTTGTTTACTTAGCAGGGTTTTTGTAGAAGAAATCTCCCCAATTAAGTTCATAATTTGAGTCTATAGAGACTCATTTCTACAAGAAGTTGTAGATAAGATGGGAGAGAGCCTCAGTTACTGACCTGTTTATAGCCAGTATCGCCTGACTTGAAAATGAGAAATACGATTCTGCCTTGTCGGTTTTTTTTCTTCTCAGGACAACATAAAAATTCTAATTTAGTTGAAAAAATGAACAAATGTTCTTCAAAGGTATAAGTCAACAAACAAATTACTTCTAATTAAAGCCATGTTTCCTAATGTTCCAGGGTTTTCTTTAAAGAATATCAATAAAAACCGAGTTTGAAGCAGGTTAAATGAAAGAGAATAGAGACGTCTGATTGTTTTATATGACACAAATCTTACATTGTATTACTAAAGCCATCTCAGTTAGAATTCAGGAAAACGCCAAAGATGAATATAAAGCAGATATATATGTCTTTACACTTAAGAAGAATTTATAGCAAATTTCTTATAAACAGCCTCACAGAGGTCTTAAAAATAAATCCATAAACATAACACATTTTTCTAGAGTACTAATGCAGATTATTCATGTATATTTTTAATGATAGCTAACATTTTAAAATATAACCTTTAATAGTAAATGTCATCAAAATACAGAAAGTATTTTATGTAATTCTGTGCTTTAAGTATTCTTTCCACTGGTTTATTTCCATTCATTTCCATATATTTTCTCTATTTTTATTTCTATTTCACTACAATGATGCCTAGAAGTAAACACAAATGTATGTGCGCATTTTAAGAATCTCAGTATGTTTTATATTTCTTGTCTTTAAATCCTGTGCTTTCCTCTATGTTATTGCTCAAATGTATACTGGATCTTCAAAATAACATGGTAAGAATAATTAAACCCTGAAAATCCCTGTTATTTGATCTAGTCTCCTTGCAGATCTCAGGGAGAAACCATATGAATAAACTCTGGCCTCCACACTTCTTCCACAGTCAGAACTTCAGTAGGCTTACGGCTCCAAAAGTGTAATAAAATCTTTACAATGCTATCCAAAATACCCCATCATTTCATACAATTTGTGCTATCATGCATACCAACTAAAATTATAGTTCCAGATAACAGTGCTATCACTCTGTCATTGCAATTTAAATATATTTTTTCAAAGGTAAGATACAACCTGCATCTTGATATAAATTAGAAATGAGTATTAAGAGGACAGCAATTTCTCTGCACCCAAAGGCAGGAAGGACACTACCTTTATTTATGTAGTTACATATCACCTGAATAAAACCCAGGATGTGTCTGTGCAGGTTTTTGAAAAGCAGAAACCTCTTCTTTTTTTTTTCCCCTTGGAGATTTTTTTTCCTTTGTATTTGTTCCCCAAATCCTCAGAAATAGTAACGTGTTTATAAAGGTGGGTGTTTGGTTTGCCTCTTAGTAATAATATGGTGCTTTTAAGACCAAATCAGAAACATTTGTCATGTATTAAGCCATGAATGTGCCAAAATAACTGTTACATTAATATATTTGGCAGATAGCTTTTGTTTGATAGTACCCAAATTATTGGTTTGCTCTAATATCTCTTGTGTGAAAACTATGAATGTCAGAGTCTTAATAATCATTAACTGATGGGAAAGGAAACAAAGTATGGTATATTTTTCCTAACCAGTCTCTTATAGTCTGCTGATATTTTGTCAGGTATGTTGATTTTGAATGGTCAAAAAACCAAGGAGCAATAATTGAGTTTCACTGTTAGGTTAAAAATGCCAAAATAGAAACTTACGGGTATTAGCCCTATTTAGAAAATGAACTCTTTCTGAGTTAGACAGAATTTTGCTGGCTAAAATATGCAGAAAGCATAAATCTAGTCAAATGCAGACAGCACGTACAAGATGTATGTAAAACTTAAATCTTACTGCACTTGAATACTGACGTTATACTCTATAGTAATAGCTTCTATTACCCATCCCAAAGTAACCCTTTGATTAGTGGCTTAAATTATTCAAAAGCAGCCTTTTTAATGGAGCCTATGTGACGCATAGTCCTTGTGCCGGCTCTGTACACAGAAAGTGTTTCTAAAGCTTCATGAATATTTGCAGCAAACAAACGTGAAATCTTCACACAAACGGGTATTCAACCTCAAAGTGCTGCACCCTCAATTAGCCAGAGAGTAGCCACAATAGCAGGTGGCGTAAGTGACAACTCACAACACGTCTTTAATTTTGACTGTCTGACAAATTCATTTCCCAAATGTTATTCAAGTAATGAACACACTGGAGAAAATCTGAATCTGCACATGATTATTTTGTGAGGAGAAGCAGAGCCTGAGACTGCTGGAGAAATTGTTGGGAATGACTAACAGAGTCTTCCTGGAAATAAACTCATTAGAACAAAAAAACTTCTATTTGGACTTTTTAGTTGACGTTCTGTATATTTATTTAAATCAAGAATATTCAAGTTTGTGAATCAAGTAAAATTAAAAATGCAAAAACTGTGTGTCATTTGAATATTACATTACATGTTATAAACATTGGTTGTGGCAATTGGTGTATCTTGCAGCAAAAAAATAGCAACACTAACGCAGAAGTATCCTACTTACAGGTCTTTGAAATATTAAGCTTGTAAAAAAGCTAGCTGCTTTCTCAATTAAGCATTAACACCCCCTCCCAGTTTACACAAGAACTTGCACTGGAGTCAGGGACATTTATGGATTGACAAGCACTCCCACCAACATGAAATAAAATATAGTCAAACATCTCAAAAGATTAAAAAAGGAATGATGGAGAGATGGGTTAAAATGATGCGACAAAAAAGGCCACTCACAACAGTAAGTGTGTAAGTACATGTAAAATATTAGAATATTTTACAAAACTGAATCTCCAATTATCAACAAAAGCATAACTGAACTTCTAGACATTAACTTTTCAGAGTTATTTGTAGGTTCTTGGGGCTGAGTGTGAGATTATGAGAAACTCAGAATAATTAAGATTTTGCTGATTTGACATTTGAATTGACTTTTGTCCTATCAAAATCAGATTTACTGGTGTGTTAGCACTGAAAGAGTTAACAGCCTTTTGGTTTTCAGTGCTTTTTTCCCCCACATTTTCCATTCTTATTGCATTTAATTGTTGCATTCCACGCTGAAGTGCATGGGATGTGAAAACATAAATTCTTAGAAACAAAAAGGCGAGTGAGACCTGGGAAAACAGCTATTTTGAAAATACTAATAAGAAGCAACTTCTCTATTTAGGGCAATGTGGTTATGCATTTACCAAGCTCTCTTCTTGAAAACATTATAAAATGGATATGTACATGCAATTAGATGAATGAAGCAGGAGTACATTATGCATTTTATACTGTTTTCCTGCATTTAAGAAAGTACAAATGTCTTACGAAGCCTCCTTAAAATGATGAAATTAAAACTCGCTATAGAGCATGCATACCTTAAGAGTTATTCTTCATCCACTTCTGCTACAAATTGTGAATGGTGTTCTGGTGACTTGCTGTGTGTTTTGCTTAGATGAAGTTTTACTGCATGTTTGCTCGCAAATGTCCGACAGCACAACTTACATTTGAACTTAGAGTCAGTGTCCTCTTCTCCAGCTATTGTTTCAGGAGACCTTTGAACTGAAACTCTGGAGATTTCTTGCTCTACCTTGGTTTGCTGCTCCACAGCCAGCCTGTTCATGTCTTTCATTTGGAAACCTAGGTGAGATTCTAAGTGGCTAATGTAAGTAGATGGGGTTCGAAACTGAGATGCACAGTCACTGCAATAAAAGACTGGATGTCCTTTGTCCATGTTTTTCAAGAACTTTGTTCCTCCGGTTTTCCTAAGTTGATACTTGACATTTGCCAACCAGTGGCTGATGGTGGTCATTGACAGTCCAGTAAATTTGGAAATCTGCATGCGCTCTTGCGGGCCTAGGTCTGATAATAAATATTTACCTTCAGATGTCTGGAAGAGGCTGGAAGCAAACTGAGCTTGCAAAATGAGAAGATGCTGAGGATTCCAGTTTGACTGTCTGCCCTTCCTTTTATGCAGAGTGGAGACTTCTGTTGAGACATCCTCAAAGCGTCGGACATCTATTTCCAATTTCATAGATGGGATCCTTGAAGATGCCGCAGGTTTTGGTGTAGTAGCTTTGGGAAGAACTTTGACCATGTCAGCGATGTCGGACAGAGCATGTTTTTGAGGTGGAGAAGTACAAGATTGTGCTTGAGGTGACTCAGCTTTCTTGCCTTTGGATTTGGTCAGGTCAATAGGCTGATCATTGTTTTCAAATAAATAGTGCCTGGATACACTTGCAGGCTTTGGTGGTGTTGGAGCTGGAGATAAAACTGGCTTCTCCATCACATTTAGATTGCTTTTGTGGAACATAGAAATTGTGCTAGAGCTGGGGCTGCAGCTGGATTGAGGCTGTAAAGGCTCAGTGGCTTTGCCCAAGTGGTTATTCAGCACTGACTGCAGCGCGCTGAGAGGGTTGACACAAGGCAGGTCAGACGAATGGTTGGCGGCAGCACAACCATTACTAAGAGAAGCTGCTGTTGTTTCCTTGAGGACTGTTTTTTCTTTTCCACTGTCCTCTTTAATTTTGTCTTCTTCTTTCAAGGGACATGGTTCTGCCTTTTTTGGCTCCACAGAGGCTTCAGATTTGAGGAGAGGTTCTCTCTCGCCCTGGTTGAGTGAGGCAGGCTCAGCTTGGATACTCTCTTTAGCATAGTCCTTTTGTACCTCCTCCTTGTCATCAGTTTCCTTCTTCACTTGAGTGCACTGGGCCACATTTGCTGAGATAGGGACCAGAGGCATGACCTTCCACTTTGGAGCTATGGGCCTCAGTTTATTGGTGATAGTTGGTCTGATTTGCAATACTTGGGAACCCACAGGCAAAGATGGCTTAGCTCCTTCTGAGAGCTGATAAGCTGCATGGATGCTGGGATATGCACTCCAGCTAGGAGCTCCATTCTGAGCTTTATTGATGGCTGTTGTGACAGTGTTCTCCAAGGACTTTAAAATGTCCCCACCACCCTTTGAACCATCTTCTAAATCTTCTTCTCTGAGGTACTGGTATTTCATTGTGGGATCCAGGGGTTTCTGAAGAGTGTCTTCATACTCCTCAGTTTTTACCGCTTTCTCATCTTTGTTTGCATCATCAGCTTTATCTTTTTTACTTTCTTTTCTTAGTTCAGAGGTGGGAGCTATGCATTCTGCAGGTGATTTACTGGTTGATTTTGAAACTGGGCTGTCACTGGCAGGTGCTTCAGACAGTGATTGCATTTTTTCCACAGCTAAAGGATCCAGAACAAGTTGCTTTCCTTTCTTTGAAGCTGAACTTGTGACTTTCAAAAAATGGCCAGTGACCATCATGTGGGTTGTGAGCTGCTGCAAGGTATCATGGGAACTTCCACATTCCATACACTTCAAAATCTGGGATTTGCAGGCCTCGAACTGCCATGTGTAGCTGGCACCATTCTGGTAGCCATAGCGGTTGTTAGATGATAACTGCAGGTTCGCATTCTTCTGAGGAGAAAAAGTATCTGAGAAAGACCCCGTTGTGGAATCGGGGGAACAAGGCCTGTTAACATCAAACACACGTTTCTTTGCTGGAGTGACCAGTTTTGAAGAAATGGTTGGTACCGGCTCCTTCAAAGGCACTTTTTGGTAATGTTTTGTTTTTATCATATGAACACTCAGGTCTTGAAGGGAATCGAAAGAGTCACCACAGAACATACATTTCAGAACTTTTTGTGCATCTTCCTTGTCCATGTCCTGGAAAGCCCTTTTCCGGGGCTTTGAATAGCTGGTAGGTCTGTGCTTGTCCTTTTTATGGTTGTCATCTTGGTAGTGACCTGTCTCATTCATATGAACTGTTAGTTCTACCAGTGTGTCGTAGGCAGCACTGCACTGCCGGCACCGAAACCGGCTGGCACCCGTGAACACAGTTCCACACATTTTGCTGCTCTGCCTGTAGAGCTGGACTGAGCTGAACAGGTTGGGTTTCGAGACAGGTCTGGAAGGTAAATTCTGCTGTAAGCTTTTGGACAGTGCATCTTGGTGCCAATCAAAATCAGCTTTGTTCCCTCCATTTCTGTTGTCACAACTCCTCTTTTCAGAGTTAGACAATTTGAAACCCAGCCCTAAGCCTGTCCAATAAGAATCTGACAGTATGTTGGCATAGACCGCTGTCATTTTATCCATGCAATTGTGTGCTTCATTCTGGGCTTTGGGATGGCTGCTGGGTTTGGGGTCCTGTGGCTCTCTAGAGCAAATGCTTTTAATATCTGCCACATGGTCACTACCATCACTTAGTAGTGATTCGTTTTCAGCATCCTGGTTAGATATATGACTGACAGGGGAATTCTGGTAACTGAAGTTCCCTTTCTGCTCAGGACCAGCTTCATGTTCCTCATCCGTGCAAGTGTCATTGCTGCCCTGGAGTTGAGCAGTGGAATTGTTGTCATCATCATCTTCTTCCTCCTCCTTTATATCTTCCTCTTCCTTTAAATCTTCCTCTTGGACATAACCTGAAATGTAATGTCAATATATGAAATAACTTGTTAAAGAAGAATACTGCATTTCGAGCTTTCTAGTTTCACTACGTGTTTTCTTTACTGAACTTTAATCTACAACTTTATTGACTGCTAGTTCTGGAAGTGAAAAAGCCCAAATGATGCCTTTTTTTGTGAAGGCCGCTGTATCTTGCTGGCAGATGATCATAATTCTTTATAACTGCCAGAGATTCTGAGTTAATAATTTTGCTGTCATGGGAGTATAATTCTAACTGTCCCATAATGGGACAGTTGAAAATTCATGTGTAAGAATTTAAAGTTTTTATTAAAAGATTCAATTCTATCAAATTGTTTTTAGCCTCAGTGAAAGACAGGGTAGAACTGGCAAGGAACAGAAGAAAAATAACTGCCATAATCTTCTTGGTTCCTAGCATCATCTAGGTACTGTAACCTTGTGCCATTTGATCACCTAAAACTGCACTTTAGAATGTACACAAATAATTTATATGTCAAAATACAACATCTGAAAGTGCTAATAGGCATAAGTGGAACTCTTTTGTTTATAGATGTACTGTCTGTGACAAAAGCAAATTGTGCTTCAGTAAAAACATATCCATACATTTCAGGGCAAGAACCCTTGGAAGTGATAGAAGCGTATTAGGATGTGCCAGAGGTAGACCAAAATTAACTGTAAAACTGAAAAGCAGAACAAATCCAGAAAGATTTTCTTTGACAAATTAGATTATTTGATTAATAAAATGAATTTGATACTGGAAGAGCTGTAAATTTTAAAATTCATTTAGGAATTCAGGTTGTTGGGGTTTGTTTTGTTTTGTTTTCTGGCCTTATATTAGCAGTAATTCTGCCTAAGTTACAGAGATAACCTGGTTAGGACAGAGGATTTTTAAGGGTGAACTGGCTCTGTTGCAGCTAGTGGATAAATTCCCAATGACTCAACACAGTCAGCAACTCACTGCCAGACCCCACAAGAAGGGATGAAGCAGAAGGAGTGGTTCAGGTGCTTTCACAAAACCCCAGTGTAATTTTTTTAACAGCTCCTCTGATATGCACAATGCAAGCAAACGCTGAAACAATTCACTGCTATTGACAGCCACTCATCAAAACTAAATGTGGATTTCAGCAGCACAGATCTTTGTAAGAGATACATTGACGAGCTCTTGAAGTGAGGTGCAAACACAGTGCTGCTAAACCTAGTGACTGCAGTGCAGTCTCAGGAGTACTTTGCTGTTTCCTTAATAGTTTTTTTGTATCAGATAAATATACTAAAACTCACAAATCAAAGCTACCTTTAAAACAACTAAGCAAAAATAGAATTCTAGTATTCATAATTATGAAGTAACACCAAGAGCTCAGAAACCCAAGTTAAATGAGCCTAAAAGTGTTATTTGTTTAAAATTCAGTCTCTTCCCATCTTCTGAGAAAAGCCATTTTATGGTTCTTTGAGAACCTGGCTCATTTCACTCCCTTGAATCTGACACTCCAGCACAAATTATATCCTTTTAGCAAATCAAAGGGACGGACAGAAAAGGTAGAAGCACTTTGATTAACACATGGACAAAGCCTTCCAGAAGTTTTTCAGATGTGCTTTAATTTTTCAGTGTATTTGCATGTGCATCTCAGCCCTTCCAACACATTTACCACCAAGCTAAAGAGATGAACTAGAACTAGAGGAATACCATCAAGCCAGAGGTGAACTAGAACTAGAATTGTTCCCTGGAAGAAGCTGCAATAAAAGAAGAGGGAAATGATGTCACTCTCTGTAGATGGGCTAAGAAATCCACATGAAACATCTTCCCTATGCCCTTCCCACAGTCTTAGGACCTGCACAGAGCGCACCAGCTGAGAGCTGGGCTTGGCTTACTCCAGGGATGATACCAGGAAGCTTCACAACCAGAGGCAGCAACTATGAGCAAATGACCTGGGCAGTATTTTACCATGGCAAAATAATCACATAGCAGTAGGAACACTGTGCTCTTCAGCACACAGCGAAGCAGCAAAATAATATTGAAGTGTTAAATACTAAAAAATAAGCCTTTTAGTAGTGGTTGGGGTACAGTAAATACTAGTACCCTGTTTACAGGTGACCAGACCGAGGCAAGCAGCAAAGACAACACAGAACAAAAGATTTTTTCTCATCCCTAAACTTTTTCCCCAGTAACCAGGCGATACTTTCCATCTACCCCTTTCTGAGCTCGTATGTTTTTCAGGGACCAAGGAGAACAGAGGGACATGGAGGCGGCAAAAGCTCCTACACGTCATGAGTAGTAACCTTGTTAAACAAGCAGCACGAACTGATGAGCAGGCCTGACATGGTTCTCACGGTGTTAGAGACACTGTACAGCGTAGGTAGCGATGCTGGCCCCTTGCCAGGATGTATCACAGTGCCAGGCATATTACACCCAGCAAAACAAAAATAAGGAGGGAATCCAGTGAAGGAATCAGACAAAACAGACAACAAACAGCATTCACAGGGGTTTGGATCGGTGCAAATTTGATTCTCCATTTCGGCACCAATTCTTTGAATATTATTAACCCATTTTTCACCAGAAGGTATTTTGGAAGATACATACAGTAGTTTCTTCCTCACAGTATCCTTTGTCCTTTTAAAAGGATTTACCAGGAGAAGCAGAAGTACCAGACAGCTGCACAGCCCCCACAACACAGATAAAATTTTCTGCTTAATTAGGCATTGACATGTTTACTATAACCTTTACGGAAGAGTAACTCATGTTGAGAAATCCTCTTTTTTGTGTCTGTATAAGGTACAGACACAGTCTTATGTAAGTGGTAAAGGTAACTTACTAGAAAGCACCATCAGAATCTCACAAAACCATCAGTCAGGTCCATTTTAATGGTTGAGGGTTCTGGGCAGCTTTGGAAACACATTTCAGTATCCTACTTGTAAAACCATTTCTGTTTATGTAAATGATTTAAATCACTGTGGGCATTTTAAGGACAGTGGAGACCTCTTCTGTGCAGACAACCTAGGGTACAAGGAACGCACGTGTCCTTCTGGCAGTGGGTTTTAGTAAGAATTCACTGGACACGAAGCTTGATATGAACTGATGTAGCTATTTAACAGAAAAAAAACATTAATTTAAGTGGACTTTACATTATTTATTTTCTAACTAAAGGGTGTTTTAAGCCTGTAGACCCACATGCTTTAAATGCAGTGTCTGTAATAAGTAGGATAAATTTTGCACGTCATGCTGATGTCCATATAATAAATTGTTGAGTGACCTGTTCTGTTCCCACCAGTTCTCCCCCAGGCTTATTCTGACATTCCAAACCTCTGAGATGCTCATATACAGCTGTCTTACAGGAGAAAAAATAGAATTAAAGAAATCCAAACTCATGCTTCCTCCTTCACCCAGATGAGAATTGTTCCCACCGAAATGAAACAGGCACAGGCAGAGATGTAATATGGGCAGTGTGCAGTCCTGAAGAAGTGGGGGACTAAAATTTCACTGTCATCTTAAGGACTGGACAAAACCCAGGAGCTTCTGAGCACTGAACGGAAGCAAGTTCTGGCTTCCTAAATGGAAATTTGGGTTTAGTGCTGATTGAGACTAAGACAGTATATGTCAAAATCATGACATCAGGAGGGATAATACTGTCATATGGATAATAATCATAAATACAATTCTAAACTGTTTTAACTTTTAAAAGTTTTCCTCTGTACCTTTGTGATTGGTTTCATGGTAAGTTCATAAACCTGCTTCTGTAGGACAAGGGTTGCAATGAACAGCTGACTGTTCTTCAAAAGATAACATTTTCTTAGGTATTTATAGCACATTTCTGCAGAGTAACTGGAAGAAAGAAGGCCCAGCTAACACAGCTGAAAAAACTCTTCTTTGAATGTATGAGTCTAACACCATGCACATGCATGTTGAAGCCTTGACCCTGCCATGCAGAAGGTGCTAAGCCAAGCTCCAGGTGATGCTGAACCTGGCATTGACTTTCAGACCCTCACACCCCTGCCTAACCTGTAATTTGCACCATGTTGTACATCACTTCTGACCTTCAATTGTAGAGTGTGAACACATCTTTTTTTTTAAAGTGTTCACTCTGACTGTTAACTTTTCCACCAGTGGATGCTATTTTCACTCAAATTTGCTCTTTTTCCACATAGAGAAACATTTCTTAAAATATATACATACATGTTTCTTTCCAAGACTGGAAAATTTATTTCCTGCCAAGAAAAGGGACAGTGAATCATTGTCCAGAACAACACTGCTAATCCGTGTAAAACCCATGCACCATCTGCACTTCTTCATATATATATTCCAGTTCTACTTGAAATAACATCGTTAGTAAAGCAATCTTGCAGTGCTATAAGGTGATCTTGTTTCCTTCTTGTCTGGCTTCAGCTCAAACATCTTTTTGTGTTTGGCAGAAACTGTTTCTTTCTCTGAAATATTTCATGCAGATAATGGATAATGACCACTTCTCATTCCTGTTTCTCAAAAATGTCTAACTACATTAGCTACCCAAAGACAAATCTTAACCTGGTTCTTTGTGGAAGTTCATGGCTCTAGATTCATCCCAGTTTGAAAATGAACTTGAGAAATAAATTGGCAGCTGTGGAAAAAAAATGCCTGCTCTGTTGCATAACTCTTACAGAAAAGACATTTTGGAATTTAACAGGAGTAAAACCAATGGAACACTCTGGAAATGCAATGGGGTTTATGGAAAGAACTCTTAAATTACAAAATTTGTAACAAAAGAGTGAATAATATATATTTCAGAACTTTCTAGGCTATGTTCAAAAATTCTGTGCCAGGAAAACAACTTCCTGTTAAGTTCTGCAGAATGAAAAGGAAATGCAGGGAAAGGTCCCATTCTTACCATGCAGAAAGCAAAGAGCAGCTCATTCTGCATCACAGGTTTCAGAGACAGAACAGCATCTCTGTTAGCTGGTCTAAACACCCTGGTAGTGTGCTTTATCCCTAAACCCATGTGTATCCTGATAAATTTCTAGATGTTCTCAAAAG